TTTCCTAAAATACTTCCTTTGAAACTGGATTATAGCACTTGATCGGGGACAAGTGCAACTATGTAGGCTATGCTAAATACCTAAGTTTATGTAAACAATATCAAGTTTAATGCAACCGTTTTCAGCAAGCTAAAAGGTGAATGAAATTCACCAATAATTTTCTGATTTCGATTATGTTTTTCTGAAAACGAAACGCGTATTTCATCGAAACACGGTGCACCAAGCGCATGACCAGGTGCGCCTTCGTGAATCCCACCCAATTCTATGGGATACGGGAGCAATTAGGATAGGCACGAGTGCACTGTGCGCGCACCTCGTTGATTTTACCCGCTGAGAAAATGTGAAAACTGTTTCGTCCCAGTTGAAATGCTCGATGTAGATATGCACGAACAATGCAGTATCTTACATTCTCACACCAGCCGAGAACACAAACGAGCACACCCACCTAGAATCCGTTTTTCGTTCAACTACTTCAATTTCTCTGGCTCACTTTAGCTTACCGAAACTGTAAGCAACCGCTCAAACTTTGACTGATTTCATACATTTGCGCACACAATCTCACTCGAAACCTGGAACCCCGTTATACATAACTTGCAAAAATCCATACTTCCTATCCGCTTGATTACGAATAACTGAAAACGGCTTCTTAGCCTCATTCTTGTTCTCCGAATGCGGTTTATAAATAAGAGCTGCAGCAAATCTAATGAAACAAATCATCCAGGGTGACATTTTCTGTTTGAGTGCCGATTGTTATCCATGGAATTGACACTTATGAGCTTAACGAAGGATTCGATTTAATTATATGGTGAATTATGTCGTGTATGCAACAAATGAAGAATGAACTCAAGAGCTGGGAAGCACCGCGCATCCTTTCTGACGTTGTTGTGTCTCATCAACAGTGTGAATCGAATAGCCCAACCGGGGGTTGAACCCGAGACCTCACATGAAGAACGCACAAATAGTAAACACTTGACCAATGATTATGCTATGATCACTAGTTGTCTTCAGCACGATTGTTTCTAAAGGATAATTTCTCCTTCGGTAAATAAACTCCATCCTTTCAAACAAAACAACAGAGTGGCGAACAAGCTCGTTTTCAGAGATTCGTATTCATGCCAATACATCTCACCATATTTCACTACTTGGGAATAAAACTGTCATGGGAAAATAAAATAAAATAAAAACAGATTACTAAAACCGATTTCATCGTGAGACCGGAAATCGGGTTCACCACGATCACATGTTTGTTTGTCCACTCATCCGACCATCGAGATTACTCACAATGCGGTTTGTATGGGGGGTGGACCAGGGAAGCTTTAGCGCTTGCACAAATTGTTTTTTGGGCACACAGAGGGGGTTCGTACAGGCTTAGGTCTACCGCTTCTGC